TTCATCCTTGTGAGGATGGAAAGCCTGATCCAATCCACTAATTTAACTAGAAGGCCCTATAATCTGAATTTTCACAGTTCTTAATTATACTTCAAACATGTTGATGTTTCCTATTGAAAGCAACTCAACAGCTTGCTAGCATGGCTCTTAAGAGTTTCCTGGATGCTGAATTTCATCTCCCAGGAAAACTGGTTGGCCTTAATTTAATTTCGCAAGAAACAGTCCAGAAGACTAACAGTTAAACCAAGGAAGCTTTACTAAGCAGAATAATAAAAATTAATTAATTAGCTGCCATATAGTGCTTTGATAGATGCATTGAATAAATCTGAGCTGATTTAACAGTCAAGTGCCTTTGTGTGGTAGGTGTTAGAATTATCTGTCATTAACCTTATGCTACAAATGAAGGTGCCTGGATACAGAAGTTAAATGACTTCCCAAGGTCACATTTGAAGCCAGCAATACAACTCAGGCATTTACTGACTTTCAGTCATTAGAGATAAATTTAAAAAAAAAAAAAACTTTCAAGGGATTCATAAGGTAAAGATCATGACCTGGAAAGGCACCGTCACTTCTCTAACTTCAGTTTCAGAAGGCAGAAAAGTTGGGAGATGACTGCTGAAATATGATTTTAAGAAAAGGAGTTAGCCATCCAAGCCTGGAATGGTACCATCTAAATTATGTTTTATTTTATTATTATTTTTTACCCAAAGTATCTGTATGATAATTTGAGTCATTTTGGATGATTCACATCATAGTTAAGCTGGGTCTCATTCTTGTGGTGCTCTGCCTTCTTGGACTCTGGAGGGAGCCCGAGACAAGAAGGCTTCTAAACATAGGTATCACAGATAAAGTGCTTCAAGTTTCATGGGATGACACCTTACTCTGCGTTTCCAACATAACCCATAGACAAAACTGGTTGTCAGTGAATGTCTAGAAAAAACGAGATTCATCTTGATGGTTATTCTCAAACGAGGCATATCATAGCAAGTCAAGTGAAAAGCAAAAGACAAAATGTTATGATAAGAGGCAGGGAAGGGAAAACACAAATAATGAAAGCAGCTTTTAAGAGAAGATTTAAGTATTTTGCAATGTGGGCTATAAAAGAAAGTTAACTTCCATAAGCCTCATTCTTACAGCATGTATTTTTGAAAATGTATTGACTATGTAAAGAAAGTTTTGCCATTGGTATTCATCAAATATCAAGAAATGCATTTTCTTTTCTCAGAATGGCAACATGTAGCTTTTACATAAAGAAGTATTAAAACATGGGTTATTTTTCCTGACCTTTTGATAGACTTTCTATTGAGCTCGGCAAGACATCCAAGAAATTCAGATTCTGATTTTAAAATTAATGATTAATGTTGTAGAGTTTTCACAGTATTGGATTTGCAGTGCCAAATTCTTTAACATAAGCAAGTGCAACTCCACACACTTCAGTGGAACTGTGTTTGCATATATTACCAAGAAATTCTGGCCCTGTGCCTGGGAAAGGATCTTACATTCCATAGTCACTTGATTATGTCTCATCTTTAAACCACATTTTACTATTTGAAAAATACTTGACCCACAAAACCATAGAAGCCCATCTGCTAAGATACCATTGTGCATCGTTAAGTGATGAAACTATTTTAAGTGCAAAATCTAGTGTACAAAGGATGTAAATCTATTTCAAATTTTTTTTTTTGTGCAGTCTGATGATCCTGAAACTTGGGTTTCAAAATTCCACTTGCACTAGAAATTAATTTCTTCAAGATATTTTATTACCCAAAACAGAAATAATCTTTACAAATAAAACACTAAGATCTATCTAAAAGAACCCATCCTTGGAAAAGAGTAAGGATGGACCCACAGGCTAGTACCAGATGTCAGAGATATACAAAAATCAGTTAAGGATCTGCTTGTAATAGTCTGGAACAACCTAAATGGAATAAAATATTACGGCCAAGACGTCTATTGTTACTATCATCATTGTTTTATTGGTGGGGTACCTAAAGCTGACAACATAATGTTCAAAATCAGTAACCAAACTCTAGTTTAGTCTAAAGTACAAGTCCAACATAACGTTAGGCTTGTAAAACCAAAGCTAGATAACTATAATCACTCTCTTGTCGGGTTTCTTCCAGTTGAAGGTTGCTTTGTTTTTTTGTTTGTTGGTCTGCTTGTGGTTTGTTTTTTTTTTTGGGGGGGGAGGAGGTTTAACTGTAACATTTTAAAAATATTTTTCCTCCTTTTATGTCACTACCTCTTATTATCTTTTTAAAAAGATCTACTTAGTTATTTTTAACTTTTTAATAATGCTATTAGACCCGTAGTTGCAACACTTTGTTGCAAATCTGTGGAGGAAGGGACTGCATTAATAATATCAATGAACATATGTGGTTAGTATGTATAAGGCTACAGCTCTGACTCCCCCTGCCACTACAATATAACTATGACTATTGTGGAGGGGTTTTCCGTTTGTTTGTTTTTTCCTCTCTTTATATACCTACTGGCTATTTCCTTTTTCATTGCCACAGCTCCAGTCACCAGGCAGCAGTAACAAATCTTTGCGTAATTCAGAGGAGGCAGGACTGAAGGCTGGCGACAGTCGTGTGCTCCTCTTGCAGATAACAGTAATAAACCTTACTGTATTCAGCATTGTACAGAATCCAGCCAGAGCTTTTAAACCCTGGGACCTATCTTTAGGTCCCTACAAGTTAAGTACTATAGCAAACACCTGACTCCCAGACGCTGAATGAGGTACCTTGACTCCCTGTTTTGTACATGGGAAGAGCAAGATGCTCCAGAACAGCACCTTACTCCCACTAAGAGTACCCACACACACACACATTTTGTCAGGGAACTGTCTAGCTTTAGTCAATAGTAACCAAGGAACCCTTACTCCTTGCTTCAGCTCAGGTACTAGAGAATTAGGATTATGCCCGTTTTAAGAACAGAAGTCATTCAAAGGTATAATTCAATACCCATCAAATCCATAGTTCACTAATAGCATTTTCCTCTGCTGAAGAACACATGGCATGGCTAGAGAGAAAAGGACTCAGTCACCAAGGTGAGCAGCTCCGGTGCCGGCAGGATCGGCAGCGGAGTGCTCTAGCACAGCGCACAGGGGGGGTTCCTGAACCAGCGGGACCTCAGGGGGAGCTGAGAGCACCACCAGGAGCCCACAGCTCACGTGACAGTGGCTGATGAGACCTGGGCAGCATCAGGAGCAACGGCGCCCAAGCACCCTGCATGTATAAAAGAAGCCCTTAGGGAGCACTAGCGACCAGGAGTGCCGCCAACAGGGCGGGCAAACAGGGCGCGACGCTACAGGCTTGGGGAAGAGTGGCTGGAAAGCTGCC